TTTGCTGTGTTAGATTTTCATTAGAAATGGAAATTCAATCCGAACATAAGCATTTTTTACTATGTGAAGCTTTAGAGAAACTCAATTTTCACAATTTCATTGTTTAAAAGCATATTCTATATTCATATTAGGCCCTTTATCTAGCAATGTGATTGGCAATCAGTCTTTAGTTAATGTCTCATTTTATTTTATCATTTCATATGTTGGGTAATCATGCTACACGTGCTGAATCAACTTATAATAAATAAATGAACTTGCAACATATTTGGCCCTCGTAATTTCTATGCTGAATAGATTTTGAGGCCAGGAGGCATAAATAGCTATTTGTTTTTCTTTTTTTTTTCATTTCTATATATTGATGCTCAGTGTGCCACCTAACTGCATATCATGGAATTAGTTTATATATTTTGTTGTGCCTCACCTAGATCTCCTTAACGGCTTACTAGCATGTAATGGTATTGTATTATTGTCCATAACTGTCTTCGTGTGTTCAGAGACACCTATTACAATGCAGTCCTTTTGCCAATGTTGTTTGTAATACTAAATAATTCTCCATTTCTCTTTTACCAAAACTAAGAGAACTTTTAACATAAACAACTTCATCTTATCAAGCCAAGTATGCTTTCCTCTTTTTTGATGAGACGATTTACTAGGCCTACCACCTTCTCACTTGTTGGTAATTTTTTTTTGTGGGTTGTCCTAATATGGATTTGCAAGTTCTTCTTTGGATTATAGTTGTTAGGTGACTATTTCATTGGCCTTTTTGAATGTCAATATGTCAGTACTAGGCATTTTTTAGAAGATAATGTCATCAATCTTTTATCGTAACAATCATTTTATATAAATGGAATCCTAACGCACATATTAAAATGGTCTCCAATTTTGATTGTATTGTGGAGTCTCTTATTACTTCAATCTAGATTTCATTTCCACGATTTTTTCTACACTACTTCAACTTGTCAATCTTATTTTTCTTAGCTTTATCCTTGAAAAATCTTTACAAGTTGATGCTCCGACAGTTTGTATGTCTAGGCCCTCCATGGCTAGAGACTTTAGTGGAATTGGACATTACTGTTTTCTTTTTGACGTGAAGGTGTGGATTGGGTCTCCATCGTCTTGATATTGAAAATAAATGAAAATTGAAAACATTTTAAGTAGTGCTCCTGTTATAATATCTTTGGGCATGAACTCTGGTTGTTTTATGACTCATCTTCAGTTGAGAAATCCCAAATTTCAGTTGCAAGAACCTCCACCTTATTCTCCTATTGAGCCTCTTAATTTGTGTGGAGTTTCTTCTCATCGGTTTAGGTTTGTTCCCAAAACTTGGCGCTAAGCTCTATTTCTCTGCAAGAGAAAGAGGTGAGGATTTTTTTTTTTGTTATCCCATGCCCGTGATCCTAAGAAGCATAACAAAGCCTTGATGCACCTACAAAAAGCTTTAAATCACAAACCAACATTCTTCGAGCGCTACTTTACTTTTGCCAATTGATATTTAATTCTTAAGGATGTGTACTCATGTTTTTCAAGGATGGGTATTTGAAAACCCCTAATTTTATTAAAAAAATTCAAAGGAGATGTTTTTTTTTTTTTCCGAACTGTACTTATTTCAAAAGTTATTTATTGGAGCTTTAGCAGTATTGGCGGCGATGTTCCACTATGATAGTGACGAGGACATAAAATAATAGCATAACACAGGCTTTCTTATTTTTTTAATACAATTGCAACATATAAACAATGAATGGTAAAATAAAATAACAAAAGGGCTTGGGCTGGATTAACAGTGGAGGCCGGGTTTTTGTCGTGAGGGAAACGACTCGGGCTAGGGTTTTAAAGTGGTTACAAGTTCAGGTTAGGGATTGAGCGGTGCGATGAGGGCAATGGATCAATTGTTGGGGGATGCACGACAGAGAAGGATTGATTGTGAAGGGAGGCGCGACAGAGAGGGATTGGTGTGAGGCAAGGACAATTGACTCTGGCGTGCGGGCTGGGTAGAGGGACTTCGATGTGGGGAGAGCGGCAGGAAGACAAAATTGGAGCTTGCACAAAGGAAGGAGAAGCAGGGATGGTGCAAGGCACCGTGAGCAATGAAGAGAGACGAGAGACAGTGGAGGAGAATAAGGACGAGATGAGAGAAAAAAGGAAGGATCGCGACACAGGGAATGCATTGGGAAGGATCAAGTGCTCTAGATCTTCGGAATCATGGCGCACAAAGAAGGTGAGGTCTTCGATAGTGCGACAAGGGCTTCGACGAGTTGAGGCGGGCGAAAGGCATTGCGGCACACGGGAGCTCTACAGAGGAATTTGGGTGCAGGGCTAGGAAGGGAAGCACGACGGATGAAGAAGTGGAAGTTCGGGGAGGCTTGTAGTCTTGAGTGGCTTTTACTTCGAACCACAAGCACGAACAATTACGGTCCGTAAGTGAGTAGGAATAGATATATGGGAAAATCATTTGTCTTAATAATAATTAAGTTAATTAAACCTAATTAAAACATCAATAATTTTTAAATTATTTTTTAACGTCAACAATATCTATGATGAAAGAAGTTTGCTTATTAATAAAAAATGGCCTAATTTCTTTGAAAGTTCATTCCACATCTATGTTTTTATTAATCTTGTACACCTTTTTTTTTTGACACTTTATTAGAAATATATGTGGTACATTAAATCAATAATCAAGATACATAAATGATAACCACTATAAACTTTTCTAAAGCCTTCTTTCCACAAGCAAAAAGGTCGAAGACCGAAAATTTTGCTTTTTAGCTACATATTCTCTCTCCTTTTGCTCGTTCTTCAGGTTTTTAACTAATTATGTTAATATCAAATAATAATTGTGGTAGATTTCTAAAAGTTGTGTTATGATAATTAGATTTAAAAAACTGCAAGGTACTTTCTTGCTCTCAGGTTGACTTGTTATGTCCCTGCACAGGAATTTGGAATTATCCAAGGCGAGAATGGGTAGTCAAGCGGTGGAAGATAACATTCCTAAACAATTACATCAGTCCACAATAACATTCAATTATAAAAGAGTCACTAATCTACAATACATAAATCAACATCATTAATCAAAACATAAGATTACCTAGTCCACTACAGTAAAATAAGTAATATCATAAAAATGACCACATAGAAACAAAAACCTGCTATCTATCATTAACAACTCATCTCCTGTTGTAAGTAAATTTTCTCCTATCAATCATCTCAGTCTAGTAGACATTTTTACTGAAAGAACAGTTAAATAACAATTAAGTTTAAATTTTAAAGCAACTTAGTGAATAATTATCACTTATTATGCATTAAATGTTTATGCAAATGTCTAGTATGATTGCTCAAAACAATGTGTTGATCAATCTAAAAAGTAAACTTCACATTTTTTATTTTATAAAATCTTTATTAGATCCTCGTTACCAATTATATTTCACCATTTTAATAATTACTTTTTTTAAGAAGTATCTCAAGAGAAACGTCAAAATATTTTTCTTTTTATACCATAAAGATAATAATTTTTTTATTTTTTTTTTCTATTTTTTATCATAAAATCACAATCATTTTTATTTCATTTTTGTTAACGTGCAAGATTACAATAACTTTTTCAGCTATTATCATGAAGGGGTGATTCCTGGTAGATTTAATTGTTTATCTTTCATTTAACTTATATTTGATTTCTTTCAACCATTAAATTCATTTATTTTTCATTTAATGCATACCAAAAGATAAAATAATTGAAACCATAAAACTGTCATATCATTTTCAATTATTTTTTATTATAATAATACTTTTAGTGCTTCTAATATATAAAAAAAATGAATTTTAAAAATAAAAGAAACTGAATTTAATGCAAATAAAATAGTAATTACTCATTTTGATTTATAAAATACTATTTAATACCTATGACCTCAAATGCATTTGAACATCACCTTAGCTTAAATTTGGAGAATCCTAACCTCAATGATGTAGCCAACTCTGCTTAATTTCAAATCTGAATATTCCTTCTTCATTACCTTTTTTTTTAATTAGCATAAATTTTTTATTAACATTCTTATGTAAATTAACTTTAATATAAAAGTTCTAATTTAAATAACCCGACTTATCTTTACTTCTTTCTCCTGCTTTAAAGCAACATTTACAATCTCAGTATTTTACAATCAATTGATCTTAAAATCTCGATTTATTTCATAATATGATCGCATGTTAATACTCTATTAAACTTTAAAATTAAATTAATAAATTTGAAACTATAACTTGTCTTACCTTATAACTATTCCTTCGGGGCCATCCACCCTCCTCGATCCGAAGCTGAAAATTTGTTCCACATTTGGTTTCCTTAACATTAATTAAGATAAACCCAATTTAATACTTAAATATTTCATTTATATAACTAAATTCTAAAATAAAACTAATAAAAAAATATTAAACCTTTCCTCACGGTTATAACTAGTTAGTTTAATAGAAAATTTTCACATATCTGCTTGATTTATTCATCTTTGTGTGTGTATTATGGGGAGGGGGATGGGGGAACTAATAAAATATAGAAATAGTATTGAAACAAACGATTACAATTTAGGTAACAATTACATCTTTTTAAGAAAATAACATTGAACCACATGCACAATCTCTTTGAAATAACAATGACATCTAAATATCACGAAACCAAAAAATCTCTTAAAATCTTATGAAGGAAAGTAATTATATTCGGTCTATTTGTAATATTTTTATATCATATTATCCCACATGCACTCGAGCAAGTTACTGCATACTGTACTGTGGCTGCTGGTATAGCCTAAATTTTTTGTAAGTATTACAAATTTGGTAGATTTTTAAATAGAAAATTTCTTTGATTTTTTTTCTTTAAAGTGTCATCAGCGTTCAAGAATTAGTTTGGATATTATGGTAATTGTGTTATTGAGAGTTATGATTTATCATTTCTGTAATGACTGGAGTTTACAAGTTGGCCTTTCGAGTTAATTGTTTGTTTGACCTTAATGTTTTCTTTCTTCTAGAAAAACTATGACGCGGAGAAAAGGAATGGTTCAAACGGTTCATATGATACAATATGTGGTGCTCGTTTGCCTAGAGGACTTGATCCACATTCAGTTCCAACTGATGAGCTTTCAGCATCATTAGGGTCATTTCTTCTTGCTTGAAATTTTTCTTTTTGAAATAAAGTTTCATTTTCCTGGCTTTAGAACAGTTTTTTGTTGCTAGTTTTCAAAATTTTAATATGATAATTAATTCATTTACTTTTCTCTCTTCTCTAAGATAACTTTATGCCAAAGGTGCCAATTAAATTCTAATGATTAAAGAAGTTTTTTATTTTATTTGTTTTCTTTTTATGAAACGAAGAATTTTGTGCTGAATAGTGCTGGAGTATCAGAGAAAGTTAGATTTTAGTTTCTTTTTCTTTCACCAAATCAAATTTAGCATCAGCTTTTGAAACAGACATGGAGACTACCCTCTAATTGGGCATGAAACAGAACCAAAGACGAAAAAAGAAAAAAAGAAAAACCCAGTGAATGAGCCAGTTCTAGAAATATTGGGGTAAGCTAAATTCCTTGTGTTTGGGGACTAATAGCTGATACGGCCGTATACTCAATCTCAAGTTCTTGTAAGAGATGGAAGGAGGAAACGAGAGTAGAGATCCAGATGAAGGTAGTTGTTGGCAGTGTCTCAGAATTATGGATGGAAAGATGGGATCATTTTCTTAGAGAATTGCAGGCTTACAAAAGCTCACCAGGTTCCATTTAATGAAACCTGGCTATTTTCAGGAGGCTTATTGAACCTGCAACCATTTTTCACTATGCAATCATTTCTCAGAATTATGGATGGAAAGATGGGATCATTTTCTTAGAGGATTGCAGGCTTACAAAAGCTCACCAGGTTCCGTTTAATGAAACCTGGCTATTTTCAGGAGGCTTATTGAACCTGCAACCATTTTTCACTATGTTGGTAGGGTTTTCTTCAGTATGAGTTTGGCATTTCCTATGAGCTTGCCTCTCTAATTAATTATCCCTTTGAATTGGAAGAGTGCTCTTGATTAAGGTATCCCATTATAAGGGCTCTTTCGTTAAGCAGATCACATTAAAATAGTTAGCCCATTGTATTGCTTTATTCACGGCAGTATGGATATGGGATGGTTGTAAATCATGTCAAGATTCATTGGTTCTTTTGTCCAAAAATTTACCAAGTGAGCCTTGTCCAATGAGTCAAGGGGCCTTAATGTAACACTATAGCTTCAAAGTAGGCAGCTATGTGCTATAATTTTAGGCATCAGATCAGGAATTTTGTTATGCCCTTAACACAGCGCTTGAACCTTATTTGCTATTGCATGGAATAACTCTACCCTTCCCCCTGTCTTGGGTTACATTCTCTCTCTTACTCTTCTTGTTGGGCGAAGAAGAGATTTCTGGAACCGATTTGAGAGATCCGGAGCAAAATTTTGAGAAGAAGTATTTAAATTAGAAACAACATGGAAATCATAAAAAACACCAAAATTTAACTTAGAAAAACCCGAAAACATGAAAAAATTTTAGTCACACCTCACCAAGAAATTAACTATGAAAAATGAGAAGAATTGTACAAATTACACCACACGCAGAACTCTCCACACCTTTAAATACTGGAGTAATTCTCTCCTCTCTTTCTCACAAGAGAAATCAAAATCTAACTCCAACGCACACAAGCTCTCGTAGCGAAGATGTAATTTTAAGTCTTGAAGTGTCCGAATGCAGTTACTTGTGCTGGGGCAACGCAATTTGGTGCTACGATACCCCCTCTTGGCGCTGACCTCCCGACGCTGGGGTGTCGGGGGCTCTGTTTATGGACTTGGGTTGGGCACTGCGACACTCCTACCAGGACTAAGGTGTCGAGTGCTCTGCTTCCAAGCACTGGGGCGTTGCATTCGGGCATTGCGGTGCTCGATACAAAAAAATTTTTGGGGCAACACCCTTGAACTCAATACAGGAGGACATCCCTCATACCCCTTGACAAACTCATTGTCAAGCATAAATGACGAAACTTAGAGCTCTACCCCTTTGACAAACTCACTATCAAGCATAAACGGTGAAACTTACAACTCTGAGTGAACTAATGATCAACACAATCGGACTCCACATGATAACAATCTTCCACTTGGGAGACTGATTGAAATCTATTCTACTCCAAATTTGCACCATCTTCTTAGTTATGAATTGTAGTGTGGCTCACCTCTGTCTTAACCTTCTTAACTCCAATTGAAGCGAAACACAAGTTCAATTTCTCATTTATAACATTGGTCAACATATCTACAAGATTCTTAGTTGTGTATATCTTCTCTCACTCATTTTTAGAGACAACAACCCTTTTTTTTTTGCTTGTCATAAACATAATCTTCACAAAAATCTAACTTTGTAGACTTTAAACTCTGAAGTTTGTTTTTAGAAAGGAGGGACTCATATGATCATGCTTGCGGTGGAGTTAAAATTACATCTTCGCTACGAGAGCTTGTGCATATTCAATGTTGTCACACCTCTCTTTCTCACAATAGAAATCAAAATCTAACTCCAACGCACACTTGCATCAACTTTGATTCCAATTAATCCATTGGATTCAAACATCTCACTAATTAGAAAAGGGGTACATTCAATGTTGTCACGAGCTATTTCCATTGTACTTTTAGTTACCTTACATGAATCACCTTTGAAAGTGGTTACATACTGCAACCTCGCATGGTTACAAAAATTAAATTTCTCTTTAGACATGGACTATGTCTAACTTCATTCAGTTTCCATACTGATTCATTTATCAACATCACAATTTTCAGTAATATTATAAGCCTTGCTATCTTTCAAATATACATTCCATAGATTTTTGTGACTTTAGCTTTTAAACACTTTTTTCTCGGGTCAAGCATGAAAAAGGGACATAAATCTACTATCCACGATTCAGCACTATATATGGATAAAATAAGGAAATCGTGGATAGTTATTCAATTCTTTAGCGACCAAAGTACTGTCCACCGTTTTCATATTGAATAATTTCTTCATTAGAAGAATTTTTTTTTGAATTATAAAGCTTCTTATATAGTCTTGTTAGTGCAACCATGAGATCAACAATAATTTTCTCATTCACAATGTTCAAATCAATAAATAAGGAAATTGAAAGTCGGACCAAACCTAGTGTTGTCTGGTCAAGAACTTCTCATTCTTCCAAAGTCATAGATTTTTGTTTCTTAGTGGTTTCATCCAGTGATAAAAGAAGTTTCTTTTGGTACAATAAATCTTCAATTTGCATTTTTCAAGAAACAAAGTTTGAACTATTGAACTTATTAACCTTGTATCTCACTTCGTCGGCCATTGCTCCCACCCAAACCAAAGATCTTCAGGAAAAAATCATTTCTCTGATATCACTTGTTGAGGGAAGAAGATATAGGCCGAACCAATTCGAGAGATCCGAAGCAAAATTATGAACAAAAGCATACAAATCAAGAAAAAAAAATAGAAAACACAATACCAAGATTTAATGTGAAAAACCCGAGATCGAGAAAAAAAAACTACAAAGTCACACCACACCTAGAAATTCATCATGAATAATGAGGAGAAATGTATAAATTACACCACACTCAAACCTCTCCACACCTTGAAATACTTCAGAAATTCTCTCATCTTTCTTTTGCACAAGAGAAATCAAAATTCAAATCCAATGCACACAGAGCCGCAAGTGAAGTCGTACTTTTAAGCCTCAAAATGCCCGAATGCGGTTGTTGGAGAGGGTTCTGGCAATGGGGCGCTAATCTCCGGATGTTGAGGTGTCGGCCTCTCTATTCTAGACCAGGATTGGACACTATTGCGCCCCTCCTAGCACCGAGTGCTCGGTTTCCAAGCATTGGGGCGTTGCATCCGGGCTTTGCGATGCCGAACATAGAAAAAAAAATTCAACATCCCCGTTCCTCCCCAAGAAACTCACCGTCGAGAATTAATGATGAAACTTTGGGTGAACAATTGATCAACACCATCAGGCTACATGTAATAACATTTCTCTGTTAGAACCTAGCTAATCTCTCTCTCTCTCTCCAAGATAAATTTTTCTTGCCATAATCTCCCGGCTACGGAACAAACATGAATACTCTTTCCACTACCATCCTCCATTGATTGACATTAAAACAAACACCAATTCCTTGTAGATGATGTTTAAAAGATTCAAACAAGGTGCAAATTCTCTTTAATGAATTTCTATGAAAATTGCCTTATTTCTTCTTCTCGTTCTTCTTCTTCTTCTTTTCCTTTTCCTTTTCCTTTTCCTTTTCCTTATTCTTCCCTTCAATAACTTAAAGCCACCACAACATTCCTTTCCTACAGATTACTCATAAGATGCCCCGTGGTCAATATACTTGCTTAAATATTCTACTTTTTTTCCTGCCAGCAAAATTACTACAATTTACTTAAGCTTCTGTTTCTGTTTCCTGAAATTCAGAACCAAAAGCCACCATATTGGATATATTTTGTGGTTTCTTTTGCTGGCGTTATATTTTCTGGGTGGTTCTATCGATGCTACCATGCTCTCTAGCTCATATTCCATGTTGACTAAACAATCTCCATGCAGCTGATTCCTCATCTTGTGCCTTACACACCTTCTTTTTATGTTAATTACTATTGGCAACCCTCCATAGATGCAAGATCCTAGTTTCTAGGTTTTCCCTAAATCAAATCTAGGATGGGAGGCACATGAGCACTCAGGTAAGGTCAAAAGTTACAATCTGCCAAGCTGCAATTAGTCAATAGTTCTTTATTTGTTACAAGCTGGACAACGCCTAATTCTCCAAAAAATAATTTAAAGATTGCCCAAAACTTAAATTATTGAAGAAATCTAAAAATAATTTAGAAGCAAAAGACACCATATTGGATATATTTTGTGATTGTGTTTTTTTTGCTAGGTAGTTCTATTAATGCTACCATGCTCTTCTTGCTCATATTCAATGTTGACTGAAAGTTCTCCACGCAGCTGATTCTCTACCTTGCTTACACGCCCTTTTTTTTTTAATGTTGATTACTACTGGCAACCTCCATAGATGCAAGACATCCTAGTTTCTAGTTTTTCTCTAAATCAAATCTTGGATGGGATGCACATGAGTACTCATGAAAGGTCAAAAGTTACATTTCACCAAGCTGTAATTAGTCAATACTTATTTTTTATAGACCGGATATTACGTAATACAACAAAAAATAATTTAAAGGTTGCCCAAAACTGAAATTATACTAGAAATCTAAAATTTAAATGAAACCACACCACAAATAGGATTTTTGCTGCAAGAAGGAAATCATATTGTAGCAAACTTGATAAATCTTAACCACACATGAAAAAACTAATAGCAATGTAGATGGAAAGGAACCAAAGATAAAAGTCAATAAAGAAGTTCAATGCCTCACGCCATTACAAGAGAAAGCTTTTCTTAAAAGTACTTTTCAAGACTTGTACTACACTTGAAGATTTCACATCCAAGTAGCACACTCAATTTTAAGAAGTAGAAATTTTGTTAAGCCATGGTTTAAGTCTTATATGTTTCTTGGTTTGTATTTATAAAAAAAAAACTCAAAATTGTTTGCTTCTCAAAACCTTGCTCAAGCACCGGTCTCCAACTTCAAAAATCCTATTTAAGCAATGACAAGCAATTTTTGGTCAGTATTATAGTGCAATAATCGAGGATAGTATAAACTAAAATAAAAGTAAAAAAGGTTATTGCATTCACGACATTAGATAAAGTGCCTGCAGATCACAATAGTGAATAAATTTAAGGATTGCCATAAAAAAAACTTCAATGGCTCCCAAATTAGTGGTTGATTAGAATACGAGGAAACCAGACATATTATTAACAAAGAGCTAACAATTGTACCAAACCAACATTGATTTTTGAGAAACCACTCATTCTCAATAGCATTATCATTACAGGCATGTTACATTAGAATAAAACTTAGAAAATAAAAATTAGGACTTAAAGACTTCTAAGTTAATACCAATTAACATAATTTGTCTTTTTGACTTTTATAGACTTTCAAACCTGTATCTATATGCCCATTTTGGAAAAACTTGACTCCATTTAATTATGCAATTCTTACCCATCATGCAAATTTGTGCACTACTATTCTGCATACTATTAACCTTTAGATCATCTCAAGTAGCTTGGGCATACTAAAACACAAGATATGTCTAGTATCCAACGTCATTTATAAACTCATCATTTATGATAGCTTCATTTGTAATATAAACAGATTTGTCTAGTAATGTTAGATTTGAATATGTGAGGAGATAGAAAGATTGAAGAGTCTAAGGTATTTGATTTAAGTTAATGAAATGAGGTCAAATAATGTACATTACAATATGCAATAATACTAGAACTTTATAAACTTTCCAATTTTTAGTCAATTGTCCTTATGCTCTACAAGATTTTATGTGTCCCCACTTTCCTAGCATTTTATTTCTTAATGGCTTCATAAAAAATCATTCGGAATTAAAATATGCCATTATTTTATCACCTAGTTTAAATTACACATATCTCTTGTTCACAATAACAATGGACTTAAAATTTCTAGAATTTATATTCAATTTTCTTAAAATATCTTCATGTAAATAATGAAAATGATTTGATTAAGCAATGAAATTGCTGAAATTATGATATTTGTTTTAATGGATGCTAATCATATTTTTTAGTCAAATCATGCAATAATGATATGCTCATATGGACAGATAATGACTTCAAAGAAAACTAGCTCAAATGACCTAATGATTGTCAATATGAGTTATCTACTTTTAACATTGACCTATTAGATGGAATCATGAACTTAAAGTTTCTTTTAAGGTAACCATCATCAATGAATTTTAAGTATTGTGAATGTCACTCTCTCAATTCCCATAAGGATATTTTTTTATATTTGTGAATCAAGAAATCAAGAAATAAGAATCGAAAAGAAACCAACTTCAGTTTGATTGTATAGTGATTTCATTAGAAACTTCTTCATGAGTTAAGTTATTAGAGGCTTCAATTGATTTATCAATTTTAGTAGGCATGATTGATTCAGGTTCGCAGTGAAAATAATTAAGAAATTCAATGCAGTGCTGCTTAGGGATCTAGGTTTTCTCCAATGCAAATATAAGGTGGGTTGCACTAGAACACTTACAAATGATTAAAATTAACAATCAATGAACTTTTTTAAGCAATACTTCTTGTTTGATCTAAATCATAAAACACGTAAGACTTGGTCCCAAAGATTATTTGAAGGTTGACTGTAATTCAACTTGAAGCAATTAAGTTTAAATTGGAATAAATCCACACCAAAAAAATTATTCACATTCCAAGAAGGAAAATTTTGTTGTAGCGAAGTTAATCAAATATCAATTGCGCGTGCAAGCTTTAAGTACCAAATATGTTGATGAAGATGGAAAAGGCTAGAAATGACCAAATAAGATCTACCCTTTACTCTGCTGCAAGGAAAAATATTCTACGGAAAAAAAAAAATTGCTATCAAAATTTGTACCATACTCAAAATGTCTTCATCCAACCAGCATACATCAGAGATAACTTAAAATTATATAAATGCAAGACTTAAAATCATATATACTTAAGAGGTCCTAACTATAAAAAAATACCCAATTTTTTTAATTTCTCAGGATTTGGCCTAAAACAACAAAAATAGGAAGTCCCCGTCTTCTAAAATCTCGTTTCCAGCAATCACCAACAATTTTTGGCTCTTGTTACAGAGGAAATCCCATCCAGTGGGAAACCAACCAACATCTAATTGCCTGGTATGGTGGGAAACTGAGAATAGTAGGGAACATGGCGGACACATTCACAAGATTGGAAATGGTAATATAGAGAAGTACGGATTAACAGCAGATATACTTTTAGTTATTTTTTATATCAGCATAATTGAAGATAGATATTGCCCTTATTTATTTTCTTTCGCTTTCTCTATTTGTCAATATACCTACCCTTCTCCCTGTCAAATAAGATATAATAATAGTTTTCCCTGCTCTTGCATGATTTTAAAGAAGAGTTAATTATAAGTTCATAATCCTAGCACTATAAATGATTGATTCATGTGCATTTTGTGGTTCTTCGTGCACTTATAACTGCTATTTCATGTTTTAAGATTTGCTTGATGCCCGTTATTTATAATTATCTATTCTTCTTTATGCTTAATGATTTTTGAATTAAATGTATTAGGCCATGATCTCTTACGAATTTCATTACAATTGGGTAATGAGTGATTAGTGTAGCCTTTGTTATTGAATTCTTAATCTGCTGATTTTTCTTTTATCGGTGTAATTTTTACTAAAATGAATTTTGGTTTAACACTTAAAACTTCAATCTTTTTTATTCAATTTTCTTAAAGCGCATTGCATTTCGTTCTCAAATTAATTTTTCTTTCTTGATAGGGTTTTCATATTCACCTTAGCAACAAAACTTAAAACATTTGGAATATATATATATATATATATTATTTCAGCAGTGAGGTCCTAGTCCTTAACATGTGCTTGCTATTTTATCTGCACTTTCTTATTTTCAAATAATGGTATTGCGGTGTTAAAATCTTTGAAATTTAGGCCTTTCTTGTTTGCAACTGGAATGAAATTAACACTTGTTAGTAATAACACCACTGATTTTAGGCAAACATTGTATGTGCCCCTCTGGGTTTGGCATATACTTTAATATTTCATGAGTTGATAATCTGTGTTCCTATGTATTTGTTGAATTATATGTCTTTTGAAGTTTTTATCGTTTACTTTTGTTTTTTAAGCGTTTTTCTTGATTTGTGCCTCACATAATAACTAAAACATTTATGTACTTTTGATTCTATGACAGATATATGATTCAACTTCTGAATCTTGTCATTCCAAGCCTAGCTGTTCCAACTCTGCACAATTCAGGTTTTGCGGTGAGCTATTTTACTTGTCTGTTAAAAAGTTAAGCCAAATCTATTGTTCTTGAATAAGCTTTATGATGCGGACTTGAATTTTGAATTTTTATTTTATCATGAAAATGGAAGTTTTTATGCCATCTAGCTTTTATTATTTTATTAGCATTATTATAGTCAATGACATTAAATTTCTAAACAAATTGTTAGTAATTTATTACTAATTTACTATTAGTTTGTTTTATTTTTAATTATTTTTTCAGTTAGCTATTGCCACTAGTTGAAGCTTTGTGATCCCTCTGCTTATGGTTTTATTTGCTGTGGGTTTTGATCATACAGTGGTGGTTAGGTTAAACTGGATTTTTGTATTTCTCACTATGGCTGCCTTTTGTAGCGATTCTGCAAATAAAAAAGCACAAGATTCGATGGTTTGGCACTGTTTTGCATATTTTAGTAGACATTGAGCTTTGTTTCCATCAGGTTTGTTGATTAGTTGTGATTCTGCAAGGATCGGAACCTCAAAATTTTATAGAAATTTAAAATTTAAGCAAGATTGAGATCGTGTACATTCACATTTAGCAGGAAGGCCTTCCACAAACAATGTGTTTGATGCATCAGGAGGAAGAGGTTTTTCTATCCTCATGATACTATATCCAATTACTCGGCTATCCATGCCTGTATGAGCTGTCATGCATGGATCATCAACTGCATGGCCACATATTTCCACACCAATGGGCCTTACAGGGTAAACAAAGATTGTGTAAATTTTCAATATATTTGGACTTTAACCAATTTGGATGAATATCATTTTCATCGCTTGTGTATTGCCTCCTCGTTGTCCAACCGCCGGTAGCCACCATAGTCTGCCATACTTGCTATTGACTGCCATTGGACTAGGGGTGTAAACGAGCCGAGCATAAGCGAGTCCGGGGTCAGCTCAACTCATGTTCGGCTCGTTAAAAAATATCCTATTGTTCGTGTTTGGCTTGTTTATATTTCAAATACAAAAAAATTGTTCGTTCTCGGCTCGTTTGATTAACGAGCCTAGCACAAGCTGTTCACAAATAAAAAATCATTTGACAACCCTAGTCACGCAGTAGTAGGATGTTAAGAGTAGGGGCGGCATTTAAATCTTATTATTTAGATTAAAACATCATTTAAATATAATTTAATATGTTTTTATTCTATTTTTTAAATTAAAAATTAATAATTTTAATAAATCTTTGTAGCTTTATAGTATATTAAATTATTTTAAATCACAACGAGCCGAACACGAGCAAAGTTTATATATCGAGTGCAAAAAAATTATTTATGTTTGTCTCATTTGTTTACCGAACGAATCAAACACAAGCGCGAACAACGAGCCTTTTTGACAACCCTACATTGGACTTGGGCCGACCTTCGTTGTCGCCCACCATTGTTTCTGCCCATTGTCGTAGCAAGCATTTTAATTACTTTGAAAGCATCCCAACTCAAAAAGTAAACTTCTATTTCCTTTATAAACATCCAAATGCTGGCAAGGTCTCACAAATACATGATTTTAGTTTGTGCAAATAACCATTCTTTAATAAGACCTTGGGACTATCTATAACCATGAATTTGGGGATTAGATTGAACTTAAACTGTGCTAATCTTTTGTCAAAAATATATACTAACCCAAAAATGAGAAATCTATAAATCTAATTAGGAGTTTGTGTTTTTTATTTTCTCTTAATGTATTTTGTGTGTATTCTTGTATTTGTTAAGTTGACTATTATTATTTGAAATGGTAATTATTATTTTAAATTATTTTGATATTTTTTTATTTGTTCAGGTATTCTTTTCATTGTTTTTAATGATCCACACATCTATGAAGAGAGCCAAATAGTCTTTTGTTTCCATCATATTAAGAATGGAAAAAAAGGAAAGATTTTATATTCTTGCTTTCCCGCTGAAGATTAATTCTTCTTTCTAGTCCCCTATTTATTTTCTTCTTCTCTACCTCATACCTTTGATGTGTTCATTTACCTTATTCCAATCTTAATCTTCTCGTTACCCTTGATTTTTCTCCTATGCCATATTCCTTTCTTTCTAGAAAATTAAATATCGAAAAGGAAAAAAAACCTTCACTATTATCTCCTTCTCCATTGCCCCCATTTATTAGAAAGTTTGGTATCAAAACTCTGGTTGTACTCGGCGAACTCCCTCATGTTTCAAAATCAAACGCTCTCCGAGACAACTCGTTGCAATTATTTTTATTTTTGTTTTGAGAACTTTGTATCAAATTTTCAGAAGACAGTTTAAATTATAGATAAGACACTACCCAGAGATTTCACTCTCATTTTGCGACGACTTTTTGATATGAGATTTGAGGTTTCACATAGACGAAAGCTCCTATGGTTAATCATCTCTCCCAATAACGGGAGCACTTTTGATTAAGACTAATCATTAAGAATTGAATGTTTAACATATAAAAACAACAAACACAGTATTTAAGTTGTATAATTCACCACTTGAAGCTTTAAGCAGATGACAGGGGAATGAAGCCGAAAGCCGAACAATATCCCATGATTTTGTCATCTGGGTTCGTCGTGGTTCCTGATCTACTTAGAGGAGATAGTCGACTCAACTTGGCAGAAGGATTCTTGTTAGCATTCATGGATTGTGTCGTCTTAAGAGATCCTTGTAGATCTAGGGTAGATATTTATTTAAGGGGACAAATTTAAGTCGATCTTATCAAACAGGAGGCTTTATGTCAATCAATTGTGCTCTTATGATTCACAATTCAAATGGTAGAAAGTCATTGGGGAGCATATGGGATGTGGTCATGGTCGTAATATAATAGTGTCATTTGGCGGCAACAACAAATTCAGAGGGTTCTGGTCGTAACCTATATTTTATGGTGTCATTTAGTGGCAAAACCACACGGACAGAGAACTCGTTTCATGTCCTTACTGGCATATAATTATTTTGATTGTGAATATATTGATACATTTGATACAATATTAACTCTTTGTGAACTTAAGTCAATCAAAAGTTTTTCACCCTTAATAAACTGTTTCGGAGGGTGAATGGAATTTGCTTTTAGCTTTAGTGATTTATTCTTAGCTTGGATATTTTAATTAATTAATTTGAAAGCCTTGATTTGGAAGATTGTCCGATCCAGTTTAAATCTTCAATCAATATTGCTATCTTCGATGTATTTAAAATTTTAAAGCTTTTATATTTGAAAGAGGGATTTTTAGTTTGTTAGTTTAGACTTTTAAGGTATATGTCCTATCGACTCATGTTCTTACAAGGATGAGAATTGGACTAGTTTGGTTATTTGGACTTGTAAATTTTTTTTTCAGGATTTGAACATTTATTAGGTCTTATTAGACTCGTCAAGTCCAGTCCTTACGAAGAGGAGAATTAAACTAGTGGGTTGGGACTTACAACCTTACCCTGTAGACAAAGAAGCCTGATTTGCAGGCTCAACTTTCTCAAACCTAGTGTTTGAATATTGAATACATTGGTTGGAGCACATGCAAACTTTTAATTTTATATTTTAACACACTTTCTATTATTTTACCTCTTTTGAGACTTAGATGCTAACTTAAAATACCTGTTTAAGATGCAATTTATTTTATGAAGGGGCATATGCAACAATTTAAAATAATGCATAGTTGATTTATTTATGTAGATATTCTAAATTTTCATGACTTGAGAATTTTCTATTTTAACTCGTGCAAGTTCTAAAATTTTTTTGTGGATCTCCAAGTATTTAAATTTTGAAATAATTCCAAATATGCTCTTGCGTTTGCATAATTTCTTTTTGAGCTTAAAAATGATCATCTTCTGTTAGGTAGTAGGCACAATGTGAATCCGGTGGTAGTGAATTTCAAGTTTTAAGAAAATGCAATATTTGAATTATGTCCCTTCGAAGCCTAAGTCCAAATAGCTCAAATTCAAAATATTTGTCTTCTGAGCTTAAATTTTAAATTCTGGTTTTTAATATTTTTAAGTCTTGAAAATTTATGCTTTAGAAAACGCATCCTTTAATTTTTTAAAATGTAAAGAACATAAATATTTAAAAGCCCAGGTCCCCGACATTTTAAATGCTAAGAGCCTAAAATTTTGAAAGCTCGAGTTTACAAGCCAATTCGAAATGAGTGATGTTTCACTTTATTTTAAAAGTCTAAAATTTCAAATATTTTAAAAGGGTTACAAGTCCAAATCACTCAATATTTTGACAACATCTCGGGGTCAACTGCCATTTAGGGGCACGGGAGAATGCTAACATTCATAGCTATCTTAAAAGACGAGCTGGTCAGTGTCACTAGACACTGTGATCGGAGAGGAAAAATGCGAATTTAACTCGTGATATTAAAAAACGCAACGAATCTTAAATGTACCTACATAAAAGGTTAGATTGCAAACCAATATTCTACGAGTGATATTTTATTTTTCCTGAACGGTACTCAATTCCACACAAACGAGTACCCACTTTCATGCTAACAGATGTTTTAAAATTTCCATTTTAAAAAACTTAGCAAACAAGTCCTCTTTTTTTTTTCTCGAAAGATACTTAATTTCTCCACAAACGGGTACTTGTGTTTCCTTGGATGAATATTTTGAAAATTACCTCTTTTTGTCCCAAAATTATACCTTCCAACGACGACCATATATCTATTTATTATTATTTTTGTTACAATACACAACAATAATAAAATGAACATAATATTTACAAAACAGAAAACAAAATGGTCAAAAGGCTCAGATGAGTAGGTAGTAACAGGCCTGTGGAAGTGAGTCGGGTTTGGATGTAGGTCGGCAGACTTGGGCTTTTGGAGCGTTTTAATCTTGAAAAAAATTGCACAGTTAAGAGCAGCTCAAGTGCACAGACTAGGGAAGAAGGAAATCAAGAGGCTTAGGAGTGCGACAGAGATAATTGCATGGCTTGGATGGCGTTCGAGGGGAGATTGGACATTGCTGGTTGGGGAATCCAGCACCCTCGTACGCCAGTGATACCATCGCTGCCTTTCCAGTTAATGCTAATTTCGGTTGTATCGTGTGGGATAGGGCAAAGAGGATCGCAGGTTCGATTGATTGGGAAGAAGAAGAACAGGCATAATTAGGTCTCAGTACAGGAATCACGTGCGTCTCTTTGTGAGGGAGGTGCGGCTTGGACGGTGGAGTTGCACTTTACCTGTATAAATTTGTCATTCATTTTCATTATATTTAAATTTCAATTTTCAAATTTATCATTATGGCCATGCAATTATTTCATGAATAAATAATTATGATTATTTTCATATTGGATTTATTGGCCTTGTAACAATTCACTTTGAATTTTTGATATGACATTTGAATCAGGGTTCTTGTTCGCGCATATGGCAACGAGATTCTTATTGGGAGGCACGTCCATCCTCTCAAAGGTGGTGTGGATGCAATTTTATTTGGAGGCATTTACATACATACCATCCAATTCCTATGTATTTACATATTTAACATCTAAACTTTACTTTTTACATTTATACCACCCAAATTTTTCATCACATCAAAAATACTGTCATTTCAAATTTTTAAAAGTAAAACACATCTTAAGGTGGCCTGTATGTAAAAGTTGAAGTTTAGGTGTTAGATACGTAAATATATAGGAGATGAGTGGCATATGTAAATTTTCCTTATATTTTTTTTCTGCGCAACAAGAATCAAAAGTCGTCTAATTATTGTCGGATACGTGGCTATTGTGCAGCAAGGAATACCCACTTTTTCTACCTCGGCAAAATTTCTATTCTTCTACTGGCGATGCCTCTTGGTCGGAAAGAAGTTCCAGTAACTTTGGTGTTTCTTCAGTAGAATCAGAGAAGAAGCATTCTTTGGATTCTGCTCCAAGTACTAGCTTTAATTACTCCACTGCCTTTGCATGTTCTATAGAGACCCAACAGGATTTGCAGAAAGGGATTTCACTGCTCAAAAAAAGTGTGGCATGTATTACAACATATTGCAATAATATATATTGCTTGGAGACATCGACAGCAGCTTCCACTTTTGAAGCATTTGCCAAAGTATTGGCCACTTTGTCTTCTTCTAAGGAAATGAAGGCCAAGTTGGCAAAATCAAAGTAAGCATTTTTATATAGTGTTTTTAAGGGGAAAAAATATGTGTCGGGATATCCTGATACAATTTGTATCATGATGAGATAATGTTACTATACATACATTAATTTCACTCATCATGTATTGTACCTTGATACAATTATATTTAAAAAACAAAAAATTTATTAGGTAATACAATTGAATTATTAGACGAACAATTTAATAGTTTGGAACTTTTGCATATCAGATCAAAAAAATTTATCAGAATATCCTGATTTATTTTAAGCATGTCACTTTAATTTTATATAGGTGATATTTTTTTTTTTATTTTTTGGAAAGAAGACTTGTCAAATTTGTTTTCATTCCTATTAGAAATTTTTTACTCTTGCACAAGCCCTACCTCAAGATAGAAAAAACATGTATACGCTTCATAAGATTTCACTTGCACAATTGAAATTTTGGCATCTATAATTTTTAATATTTTTTTCTGTGATCTAATCACTTTACCTTTGGACCAACGGCCTCTACTCTTTTTCTCAAGTAATCAACAATCCTCAGTTCAGTATAGTCTACATGAATTCAATAATCTCATTTCAGTATAATTTGCATTAATTCAGCATTGTATTTAACAATTTATATTGTTTGTACATTTTCTTTAGAAGGAGAAGATTATCCCTTAAGATTTCCTGGACATAGATTTTTTTTCTATGCTGACATAATGGAGATAATTCTACTCATGAGCAACGATCTTCTGATTAAAAGTAGGATTTGACGTTTGGACTGAGAATTTTCCATGAAATGTCTTGGTGAAAGCATATATAAGCCGTTGTTTCAAATTCTTATTTTGCACTTACAGAAACCTTTAGATTTCACAATTTCTTTGCAAATTTACAGGTCCGATAATCAACTACAGCCACTGAACAAATCAGCATGGAATGTAAACTCCACTGCATCTACCAGTTCTTTGCTTGACAGTGTGCATAGTATGATTATAATGGTAAGATCCCAACTGTAGTTGTTCTTTGAGATTTAAACCTTTTCAAAAACTTATTCCATCTGAAGAAGATTTACATACATACCACTCAATTCTCATTTATTTTTACATATCTAACGCCTAAACTTCAATTTTTACATACAACCACATTAATTATGCATTATGTGATGTGAGATGATAGATTTTTGTGGTATAAGTTTAGGTGTTAGATATGTAAATTCAAAGGAATGGGGTGGTAAGTATATAAATGCCTATTCATTTTATTAATCATAATTCAATTTGCTATTTAGGGAAGCACTCGAAATAATCTCTCAAACTCTGCTGCCAGTTTTCTTTATGCTGATACTTCCGAGACCAGAAAATCAGAAACCTTGGTGGATGGATGGGACCTGATTGAACACCCTATACTTCCTCGACCATCTCAACCTGAAGACATCGAACACTGGACGCGGGCCATGTTCATTGACGCATCCAGTAAATAGCATTGGCGGCATGGCTTGTAATTCTTTTGTACATAAATTTATTTGTCTCAAATGTTATATTTGTCCATGGTAAGCGTCCTTGGATGGTAGCCTTTGATCCAAAAAATTGGTTTTTTAATATATATACATGAATTAAAAATGGTAAATATTTGGCATGCAGTTCTGATTTTACTGCTTTGGCATATGGTACATACAATGATTTATTTACCTTTTACTTGGAGTTTATTTAGTTTGTTGCGAATAGAAAAATATGATTTAGTAGATGATGTTTTATTTTTTACTAATTTTTTATGTGAAATTGAAACTATTCTTCTTAAGGATTGATCCTAGATCTTATGTAGAGGTATATGCGGTACAATTCCGGTTGATGATTGCTTAGATATTTGTTTTGTAAGTATTTGTGGCATGGGTTATAAGAAAGATGATTATGATGTAAATGAGGTTGAAATATGAGTCTTTTTAGGTGAATGAGACAATAGTAAGATTGTAATGTATGTGACGAAGTTTTGGTGTAATGCAATTATATTGCATGTCACTTTGTAATGTGGGACTAATGGCACAATTGAGACCAAGGTTTAGGTCCTAAGAGATGATTGTAGCTTGAGTTTTTATACAAATCTTGATGAAGTTTGACACGGTGAGATTACAACATAAGCCGATCTTGAGACTTTGAGATGCGAATGAAATTGACGTGCTAAGTCCCATTAATATGATTGCTAGACAAATGACATTAGTGTTAGGTTTTATTCGTAATGCAATTAAAGATTATGACAATGGTAGAATTAGGATGCTAAAAAAGGTAATCATAGCATTAATCTGATTAATTGACATCTTTTTAATGCATCTTAATCACATAGTTTCCTCATATGCCTGTTATCATGCAAAATCAGCAAAATCAATTAAAGAAATATTCTGGACTCGAGGAGAAGAATGCTTCGCATCAACAACTTCCTTCAGTTTTCTACCCAGAGCATGTGCCTGCATTTGTCCCGTATTTTACCAGCAAAAATGTAGCTGTCACGGATACCCTGCACAGTGATAAAGCAAAAGGCTCTTGCTGTTTTCCCGGCGGGGAAAAGAAGTTTTGTAGAAGAGTAATTTACATACGTACCACTCAATTCCTATGAATTTACATATCTAGCATTTAAATTTTGCTTTTTACATTTATAACACCAAAATCTCTCATATCACATAAATATTACCATTATGTTAACTTTTAAATATGAAATGAACCATTTCATGCATAGAAAGGGTGAAAGTAGTAGTTTAGGTGGTAGATAAATAAATACATAGATATTGAGTGGTATATATAAATAGTCCTTTTTAGATTTACCAAAGGAATTCAAAACATTCTACAAAATAAAAATTGTGATCATATTCAGCAAATGATGAACGGACAGTCACCTTAAATTTCATGTAATCATGAATGCCAATAGTACCAATGGCTAAAGAGAATCATTGCTAATGTTAAAGAAAAGTGTTAAAATAGTCTCATGATTCTTTGCAGGGATTACTTTAGTCCCGAGTTTATAAAAGTGTCGCAAACTCTTTTAATATGGGTTGAAATAGCCCCTAGTGAGAATGATTTTAACCCCTACTAAATAATACAGGATTAATCTAATAATTTTTATAAAAACAGAGACTAAATTGATCGAATGTAAATAGTCAGGGGATATTTTGACACTTTACTTAATGACTTCACCCCTCGATATAGTGCAGATTAAGGCAACACAAGATCAAAGCTATTAAGCATACATGCACGATTCAGATAAAAGACGAGTTGCAATCTCATACCATAGCCTTCTGTGAGATTTTAACATACAACAGTTTCTACTTCATGATCAAAATCTGTTCTTGGAGGATTGTCGGCCAAGAAAATTATGATTTGGAGAAATTTGAGGAGGAGAGTCCAATCAGATCTGAAACGAAGGAGTGTTTCGTGGCCATGGAAGGGATGTTGGAGCAAAAATTTACATCCCTAGAAGAAATGATGAAAAAAAATCATGGAGATTCACACAAAATTGCCTCAGCCTGTCGTGGGATCGAACTACGGCGGTAAGTAAGCAATACTAACTAGAAGGGTTTGTGCGGCATCAGAGAGACTGCGCTGTTGTTGGATAAATGATCATTCTGCCCCTGTTTGGTAAAGATGTTTGCAACAGAATTGTATAGGGAAAATAATAGATAGAACAAAAACCTTAAACTGTTACAGATCAGTTTAGAAAAATTAAATACAGTGCTCACTATTTCGTGAGTATCAAAGAAATAAAATAAAGTAAAATACAATTACAAGTAAAAGTAAAATTATTAAAATGTTTAATTTAAAACTCTAACGTCGTCTGTCCTCAGTGACACTGTCCTGCTGGGAAACCATCGTACCACGATCACTGTCAACAAGGGAGTATGTCTATTTATAAGTCATCATATTTCAAACCAGAAGAGAAATGAAACTTGTCGTCTTTCCAAGTTTCGCAGGTAGGCAAAACATACCTCATATGAGAAGTGTCGATCTCTGCTAGGGTGAAGAAGCAGAAAGGAAAATCAGGGAGGGAGAGGGCGAGGGAGAGCAAAGGGCAGCTCCGGAATTTCTAGGGCAACGCGGGCCTCGGACGTAGGATGCGTGGGCTAACCCGCGTCGAAGCCTATTAAGAATTTTCGTACGTGGACGCAGGAGCGGCACCAAAACGATGTGCGAACATTGTTTTCAAACGCTGCGGCGGCGTTTTGAAAAAACCGTCGCACCTCAATAAGCTGCCTCAAACGGGCCCTAATTCTCATGAGGAAGCCTAGGAAGCCATAGGAAAGTCATAATCTCCGCAAGATGAGCCAAGCTCCTGATCCTTTAAATAGCTTTTGTAAAGGTATTATTAACTATAAAGTACAAATAAAATCAAAACTATTTGCATTCTTGGGTTCTCTTCATATAATGTGACTATATGAAATAGGCTTCATAGATTTTTATCATAAATGACTAATGAGACATTCTAAAGAAATTAATAGAATAATTTTAGCATAGCAAAAATTGTCCATATATTCACTTAATGCCTCTTCAATCCTCATTAAGCACCTGCACAAAAAAAAACAGTGATAAAAGGTTATAGATGAAAGCTCCATAATAGCATAACCCACGCATAAGAAAAAGTCTGCATGTTTGTTTCGCCACCAATGCTTGTCTGTGTAGCAGTTTAGAGCTGATTGCCATCTACGATAACCATTTTCTACAGTATTAAAGTAGAAACTAAAAACAGGAACAAAAATAATGTGCTAAAATAGAAGACATTAGAAAGAGTCGAGAAAAGTAAGTGCAAAGTTTATTTAAACTGCAACTTTGCCAATAATAATTTCTTTTAATTTAAGTGAATTAAAAGAGGTAAGGTTAATGAGAGTTTTGAGAAGTTTTAGAAAAGCCTTTGGATGGAGCTTAACGGATTTTAAATGAATTAGGCTTTCCATATGTATGTATATGGAAGAGAATCATGAACCAGAGACTGGCCCACGAAGGAGGGTTAACCCGGTCATGAAGGATGTAGTAAAAAGGGTATTCTTAAATGGCTAAATGTAGGCATCATGTATCTCATATCTAATGGTGCATGAGTAAGCCTGTTTCAACGTGTACAAATATCTCAATTGTTCGTTTAATGCATTATGTTGATTTTTGTGCTTAAATTTTGCATTCATTGATGTGATTTTTGTTTGATAGCTGCTTGGATTGGTGAATTTTAGTGTGCAATTTATATTTGGATTTGTATATGTTACAATTGCAGGTATGAAAATTGCAATGAAATGAAGTTCTTTTTTTTTTTTTTTCAGACTGCAGTTTTTTGGGGGATTTCCCATAATTTTTCTATGTTGTTTTACTCTTTTATCGTACTAGTTGATGGTTATATACTATAAGTTAATACATTGATTGGTGACCGACAATCTTCTAATGGACTAACGATAAAGTGACGGATGTTTCTGACGACCAATCAGCCTATTAACAAACAGAGAGCAATCGATAAAGTTTTCTGATTCTATAACTTTTTAACTTTTCAATGACAACGATCGTTAATGTTTTATTGACGAGACGCCAACATATAACCAACAACTATTTTTTTGATAGGATTTGTAAATTTATAATTATTATTTATTTTATTGATGGAATGCGAAGGTGAATTCATGGTTTTCATTTCAGAATACACCGACGAGTACACCCTTTGGGAACCCATTTCTAATTTAAATCCGTCGGAAAGTTTGTATGATAAGAAAGTTCGACAAATAAATTAGCCATGCCCCAATAACCATCTCAATGCAGTCGTAAATTAATCAACTGACATTTTTATAATACTTGTCGACGGTATTTGACTATTGGAAATTAGTTAAATTCATTTAGTGAGTAGTTATAGTGAAAAATAATAGGATCAAACTTATACCCACTAAGAGTGTCACCGGATGGAGAATTTGTATTGAAATAGGAATTTGAAGAAAATTACTAGGAATGACCATTATAGCTTGCCTTTTCTTAATCAGATGCTTGATAGACTGCCATGATAACCATATTTTTTCTTTCTATATGGTAATTCGAGGTACCACCAAATTACCAGCACCAAAAGATAAGGACAAAACCAATTTCACTAGTCCTTATGGAACCCTTTTATTCAAAATGATACCATTTGGACTATGCAATGCCCCTGCCATTTTTCAGAGATGCATGATGTCCATATTTTTTTGTCTTATTGAGAGGAGGATTGAAATGTTCATGGATGAATTTTTTGTGTTTGGCACTTCTTTTTATTTTTGTCTCGAACAACTAAATAATGTTTTGCAAACTTGTGAATAGTGTAACTTATGTCAAAATGAAAACTATATATATCAATTCATGATCACTGAAGGCATAATTTTATGACATAAATTTTCTAAGAGAGGGATGGAGGTGGATCATATGAAAATTTATGTTATAGAAAAACTAATCTCACCCCCTTATTTTGAAGAGATTAAGAGTTTTATGTTGCATGCAAAATTCTCTTCTAGATATTAAGGACTTCTCTAAAATTTCAAAATCATTGTGTCACTTGTTAGAGAAAGACATAACTTTTAAGTTTGAAAGTGAGTGTCTTGCAACATTTGAACTTTTAAAGCAAACATTAATCACTACACTTGTGATAGTTATACTTGATTGAAAATATCTATTTGAATTTATGTGTGATGCTAGTGATTTTGTTGTTGAGTTGTGCTAGGCCAAAGAAAAGATAAAACTTTGCATTTGATAAACTATGCAACTAGAACTCTTAATGAGGCATAAGTAAACTACACCACCATTAAAAAATAGTTAATAGTAATAACATTCATTCATAATAAAATTAGATCATACTTGATAAGTATCAGAGTTAAATTTTATGCTAACCACTTAGCCATCAAGTATCTTATAATTAAGAAGGATGTCAAATCCCGCTTGATCTAATGGATATTTCTATTATAAGAATTTGATATTTAGTTTGTGGATAGAAAATGTACATAGAATCAAGTAGTTGATCACTTATCAAGACTTGAGCAAAAAAAATTTAAGGATGTGTTAGATGATATTAATGAAAATTTTTATGATGAAAAATTGTATTGTTAATAGAATCACTCTTTATGATTTGACATATCACCGAATGAAGAAGTTTGTTTCTAATGTTAATTTTTTTTTGGTATGAAAATTATCTTTCAGAAGGTGTCAGGATAAAATTATTAGCAGATGATGGCACCTAGAAGTAGAAAATATCATTACAGTTTGCTACGATTCATATTTTTTTGGGCTTTATGGAGGTTTTAAACTACTTATAAGATCTTACAATCAAGATTTTACTTACCTACCTTCTTTAAGGATGCTAATAAATATATTAAGAAATGTGATAAATATCAAATAAGAGAATATATTTTTAGGAGATATGAAATGCTTATGAACTATATTTTGGAAGTCAAAAATTTTATGTTTGAGGTATATACTTTATGGGACATTTTACATCATCTCTAGGAAACTGGTATATTTTAATTGCAATAGATTATGTCTCAAAATGGACTAAGATGGCTCTACCTAGGTGTGATTCAAAAGGTATTCAAAAAATGTTAAGGGAATATATTCTCTTAAAAATTTTGAGATCCTGGAGTTGATATTAATGGTGAAGAAATCACTTTTGTAAAAAAAAGAAAAAAAAAAGATTGGGACATTAATTACAAAATTTAGGATAAACAAAATATTTATACAACATATCATCCTCAAACTAATAGTTTAGCAAAAGTGTCAAATTTCATGAGGATTATAGAGAAAATTTTTTTTAACTCTAGTAGAAGGGATTGGTCCCTAAGGCTGGATAATGCACATTGAAAATCTGCAGTAAGCGTTGTTATGCCCCCCCAAGTGTCGCAGTGCTTCCTCCAGCCTCCCCAACGTGTCTATGTGGCTTCACCTTATTCGATTTCTCGAATGTGTTAAGCGTCACAGCACCTCAATTTAGTGTTGCAGCACCACACTCATTTTCTATAATTATCCCTCTTCTGATTGTTTCACCTTCACATCAATATTCTCTATGATGTAGCCATCTAGTAGAGGAGATGGGGTGTTCTTAGCATTCCAAGTAACCTCCTTAACCATCCTTTCCATTCTTCTTTGTGATCTTCATTGATTCTTCCTCATTGCTTTCTCTTTTGGATTCTATGGAACCTTAATCTAAAGCCCTTAAAAGAAAAACTTATTTTGATACTAAACAAATCATTAATGTCGACATAAAATCTAGGCATAGTAGAGTCATAGTATCAAAGAAGTTGATTTCGAAGAGGGGATTTTTATATCGGGCTGGGGGTGATTACAAGGGGTGACAGTCAGAAGAAAATGAGAGGAATCTTATTACCAGACTAAAATTGTTGTTGTACCTTTTGTTAGAGAATTCTTTGCTAACAAAAAAGAAAAAGTTTAATGCTCCACCCAAATCAATTCACTCTTTGGCCTTCCAAACATTCATGAGGATGAATACTAACATTTCATGAACTATGATTCTGCTTTGATTGAGATTATCAAAGTTCTCACATATTCTCGTGTTGATTGGAGGGAAAGCGATGATAGATTAGTTAATTTAAACATCGAGACATTATTATCCCTGTTAAACTCATTCCTTCCACTGATATTAGTGAAGTGACATGGGATAGGGCCATTGTGAATCACTTCAGTCATAAAGAGAAGTTGATTAATGTGTGTGATGTGATATTTATATATTTCATTCATGATATCATCAATGGGGACCGCAATTGCCTAGGACACATGTCAGTGATTGCTGCTTTATGTTCTAAGGTGGGGTTAAGAACAAGACTCGGAAGGAACAACTTCATCCTAGAAAGATTGTGATCAAGGAGACTTTAACTTTCTAAGGAAGACATCTTCTAAGAGAGGTGAGAGTTCCTCCAGACCTACCCCTTCCCGACCCCAACCATCATACTCCATTTTTATGATTTTTGAGAGGTTGGACACCATGAGTGATGATAGAGTGAGTATACAATGGTGGCAATATAGGTTTTAATATATTGATCAACACTGGCGACAATATGAATACTTAGTGCAATTCAACTCTACTTTAGTTGAGATGATTCGTCATAGACAACAACACCAACGGCCTAGCACTGCCCAACTTCCAGACACCACCATGTCACTGTTATGGGAATACAACTCACCCTATGGAGGAGGAGGATGGTGATGATAATGGTGAGGGTGGAGATGAATTATGTTTTGGATGTTCTGATTTTTTTTTATAGTACTACATTTTATTTTATTGGTATTTTATTTATGAGACTCTGACGTATTTATTTGTACATGTGAGATTGTTCATTACTTTCTTGTAGCTATTTTAACTTGTTATGTGATTCATGTGATTATTATGTGATGGGCATGTGATTCTGATTCAGTGTTTAGTTCTACTTTTATTTTATCTTTTTCATGTTTGCATGTCTTCACTGCTACATTTTTATTTATTTTTTCTTTTATATTCATGTTATACCTTGTTATTTTTCTTTTACTTCCCTACTTTTATTTTCATGTGATTAGTATAAAACATGTTTCGAGGAGAATTTATTATAAATAAATATCTAAAATTTAGAACTTTGATTAAAATGGTAGACTTAATTATGATTCATTGTAATTAATAACAGGCATAGAAAATAATTAAAACTGACATAAATACTCATTAAGTATTGAAATTAATTATTAACTCCCTAATAATTGACCTCTTACTACAATTAATCACTCTTTTATATCAAGATCCTTATATACATGGACAAATTTGGCTATATATAAAATTTATTCATCAAATTTATAGTTTAATAATTATTAATCTGAATAATTTAATTATAATTAATATCTTTTAAACTAGAATACATTGAATGCATTTGACTTGGGAAAGAATATATATTCAAATTTATTAAAAAAAGGAAAAACTTAACAAGATATAATAGTAAAATTAAAACAAAAAGAAAAAAATAGTATCTATCACCCTTCTAAAGATAAAAATTCGAGAGCTTTAATGGAAAAATTTCAGGTCAAGCTTGAACTAAAAAAATTAGTATCAATCACCCTTTTAAGAGTCAAAGGATCAGGATACGTTTGTTTCAACTTTACAAACCGAGTTATGAACCAAACACTAATTTATCAGGGTTTAATGTCACTTTTGTTGGGAGATACACACCAATTGTTGTGGTATATATATATAAAACAGAATAGTATAACGATCTTTTATGAAAAATAGAACGAGAAAATTCACACTAGAAAACAGTAACACAGCAGAACACACAGATTTACGTGACAAATTACCTACGTCCATGAAGTTGCAAATGATTTTACTACTTGAGAAATTTACACAAGTCGATCGTCTCGACCTACAAGAGCGAACTCTTTCTCTCACTTCAGTCCTCTTTTCTTCTTTCTCTTTTCTCTCTCTTTACCGAAATAAACTGAAAAAACTTCACACTGAGATACACCGAAAAATATAAACTTACAAGAGAAATAAACTCAATTTTTTTTCTGTCACAAGCCATCAAGAAGAAGTCGATGGAAAATAATCTTCTTCTTTCTTTTTTCCTTCTATCAAGCACGCACACACTGCTTACACTTCTCTTCCTCTATCCCGAGGAAGCGATACTGTCGAAGAACTCAAATGGATTGTACAAAAAACTCAAGGAGAACCGCTCATTTTATCACGAAACCGTAAGGAGCAAAAGGATGTTTCGCTTCGTGTCAAAGGCGGAAACGGTTGGCACAGTTCGCGAACGGACGAAGGCGGGAGCAATTTCCGCAACACATAGGGAGAAACGACGATTCACAGAAATAGGAGCGGAGGCGGGATCAAGCTCCAGCACAACTTTTGGGTACAAGCAACAGCTCACCTTTCTATTAAAATCACAACCTATGTTCGAAAATTACACCTGATTTATTGACATTTTAATGTCATATCTCAATCACTTATTTTCATCTGAGATTTTAATATAATACTTATTCATATGCCTGCTGTCATGCAAAATCAAAAAACTTATTCAAGCAACATTAAAAGTGAAAGAAACAAATTAACAAAAAAATCGCCCATATCAACATCAATAACAACATAAAGTTTACAAACCGAAGTACAACCTTAAACACCAGATAATGTAGAAACAATCATTAAGAAAGCATATCTAGCTACTTCAGGACTTGGTGATTCTACTCAAGACCAATACAACAAAAATGACAATCTCAAATCCTCAAATCTGCTGCCTCAATCAAGGCATTAATGCCATTTTAAAAGAAAAGGAAAAACTTATGTGCCAACCGTGATCTATATAATGGCAGCTCTAACAACTTCATTTACAGGATCCTCGAAGCACTCCGAAGAGAAATTGATTGCTTGTTGTGGATAAACAAAAGCCTTCAAAGGAGAAGGCTCTAAATAGCAGAAGAAGAATACCAGAAGAAGAATACTTTACACCATTGGAAACAAAAAGTAGAAAGGTAGAGATTTTGTTAATTCCAATTATTGATATATTCAGGACTCAAGTAGAAGAATGATTCGCATCAACAACTTCCTTCAGTTTTCTACCAAGAGCATATGCTAGAGGAGGTGGCACGGCATTCCCAATTTGCCTGTGTTTGTTCTGTATGTTACCAGCAAAGATGTAGCTGTCACGGAAACCCTGCACAGTGATGAGCAAAAAAGCTTCTAGTGTTAAATGTGATCGACATTTCATACATATTGAATTCCAAAGGCATTCAACACATTCTACAAAATTAAAATTGTGATCGTATTTTAATGCAATCAAAAGCATGCAAAATACTTTCATGCATACGAGAGAAAGTCATTGTAGAAGTAATAAGGGTTTACTTAGCAATCGTGCATGCAATCATGTATGCCAATGGTAATGATGTCTAAAGAGAATCATTGTTGACGTTAGAGAAAAGTGTTAAAATGGTCTCATGATTCTTTGTGGGAGTTCATTTAGTCCCAAATTTATAAAAGTGCAGCACCATTTTAATATGGGCAGAATGAGAACTATTTTAACTCATCAAAATAATTCAGGGATTTATTTAACATTTTTATAAACTATGGGACTAAAATGATCCAATGTAAATAGCTAGGAGGCTATTTTGGCAATTTACTTATTAATGTTATAAGAATTAAGAAAACATATTGTTACACCAGCCTAAAAGGGCAATTTTGTTTTTTATTATTATTAGGATTTGGTATAAATAGAGCCTAATAGAATTAGGGCTGGGTAGCATAAGATTGGGTCGTGTATCTTAGGTTTAGGTTTTGGGAATCATTTACAGCCTCAAAAATTATAGAAATTGAGACACCATCGCCTACTACTGGAACTGTATGTACTTATCTTTATATTCATGTTAAGTTCTTTTGTTGATTGTGCAATAAAATATTATTTTCCTTAATTTTTGTGTAGAAAATCATGCCGATTTATAACTCATATTGTATCACATACCTGAGACCTTGCACACTCGCGCACAGTGAGAATCCTGTCCTGGTCAGGGTGAAAGCACATGCCCACCTTACCCATTGGCTGAGGATCAGTAATGGAAGTCGGAAAATTTCCTTCCCAATCCAATCTACCAAAAAGGCCCTTCCATTGGTTGTGCCTCATTGCTGTATTGGGCAGGCACCATGGCACCAGGTCCACCATTTGCCCATTTGACAGCTTAACCTGCATGAATTCAACTACCAATTTAGTCCAAGGTACGGATTAAAATGAAAATTTTTAATGTGGAAGACAAAATAAACATACCAAGGATTCAACTTGTTTTGATCGTAAAAAACAATAGTAAAAAGAAGCAGCATTTACATACATACAACCCCATTTTATGTATTTACATATCTAGAATCAATATTATACCTTCTCTACTTACACCACCCAACATTTTCATATTACACATCAACAAAATTATCATTTTAACTTGAAAAAAAAGTGAAATATACATTTTTTATGCAAAGATGGCATGTATGTGTGCGCGGCCATGTCTGTTAAAATTAATGGCATGTGTGTGTGCGTGTTAAAATTAAAATTTAGGTGTTAAGTAGGAATTGGGTGGTTCGTATGTGTATCTTACTTAAAAAAAAATGGGCAAACCTTTTCATCTGGAAGATCACGCCAATCAGCACCAGGGTGCTTTGGAATGCGTTTGCATCTAATAAGATTTAACTCGTTCATTTCCTTTGATATGTGATCGCTTAAGACAGCCGAGACTCCTCTAATGTTCTTTTGGAACCAGGAAACGGGCTCACCACCATACTGAATTAGGGAAAAAAAAACTTTATAACTTTCAAAAATGAATGAAAGACAAAAGGAAATGGTCATTGAAAAGAAATAATTGAAAAAAAAAAACATTTTTAATCGAATGTATGGATAAAATTAGCATTTAAAATGCCCGGATACATCTAATTTGTTGATAATCAAAACTAATATCATCAAAGTTGGGATTATTTTGATGATCATAAACTTTTTTTTTGGAATATCACATTGAGTAAATAATATAATATTGATATTGATAAAATCATATATAATAAGCAATGCTAGTGTTAATTTGCTGTTGAAAATTGAATAACCTTAATTAAAATTATAAAGTGATTACAGTAAAATGAAACAATTTTTTATTCATACTTAAAATTCTTTAATATATTTTTTTAATTAAAACTACTTGCACTATACTTTTTTGAGGAGGATTTACATGGATACCAATCAATTCCTGTCTTTACTTAACACCTAACCTTCAATTTGTACATACATGACACCTTACTTGTATTTAAAAAGGTGTATTTCATTATTTTATGTGATATGAAAAGATTTAGGTGTTATAAATTTAAAAAATAAAATTTAAGTGTTCGGTATGTAAATATATAGGAAATGTGGATTATGTATTAAATGCTCCTTTTAAAAATAATATCATATTGATAACATGCCATGTCCTCCTATAATAATGTAATATGCATACTTCGGTGTCATTTCCATATGCTATGTCAGTGTTCAATTAAAAATGAAGTGTTAAAATAATCCAATGACTCCTTACAAGAGGTCATCTAAATCCCATAATCTATAAAAGTGTCAAATTAATCCGCAAACTATTTTAGTATTAACTGAAATATTCATCCCCAATTAAAAAAATCTCGGACTAAATTGACATTTTTATAGACTATGACTAAAATGACCATATATAAATGGTGAGGTGACTATTTCAACACTTTGCTCCGTTAAAAAAACACATGCAAGGCAAAATACTTACATCAACTATGAGTTTTGAAGCGCCATTTTCAGCAAATGGAAGATCTCCAATTGTGTCCCTCACCGTTATTGAACGGAAAGGAGCACCATCTGCAGTGCTGCGAACGGCAGAATATTGCATATTTCCATTCAAACTTATTTTTAGTTCAGGACTGGCAAAAACATGCATTGGCTCCGGCCACTCAGGGAGTGTTTCCTCTGGAGAAGCTGCCCAAATGAATGCCCTTTTCCTTGACTGAGAAACACCATAAGCTCCAGCTTCCAAAATGCCAAATCTTACCTAAAAAGAAATAACATTGTAGGAAAATTTACAATTGACATACAGATCACGTTTCCTATGTACTTGCATATCTAACACCTAAAAAATTTAATTTTTACATTTATGTCACCTTACCTATGCATGAAAAGGTGTATTTTAGTTTCAAAAATTTAAAACTGTTATTTTTTATATGATATGAGTATAAAGATAAATTTTTTATGTTAGAAATGTAAATACACAAGGGAGAGAATATGAGAACCTGGTAGCCCATCTCAAGAAGGGAAGCAAGGGTTAATCTGAACGTTTGTCCTTTGTTAAAGGACACGAAGTTTCTGACATTCTCCAGAAGAAAGAATCGCGGCCTGAAATATTCCGCAAAAGATAAAAACGCCAAAATCATCTCGCACTGAACCTTACTCCAAGTGCTATGGCTGAATCTATTCATCCCAGAAAAGCCCTGCCACAGTGTAGGAAGATGCACAGCGAGTAAATAAAAGCATTAAATATTGAGTAAAGTGTCAAAATAGTCGGTTGATTATTAATATGGGATTGTTTTAATCCCAGAGTCTAAAAAGTATCAAATTAGCCCTCAAACTTTTTAAATTGAAACCCTCCCAAAGAAATATTTCACCCCATTTTACTAGAGTGGAGACTAAATTGGCACTTAAATATACTTTGGGACTAAGATGACCTCTGCTAACAATCAAGAAACTATTTTGATACTTTTCACATTAAATATTAATAACAGACAAAATTTATAAATTGAAATGAAAAGTTCTACAATGAAAACTCCAAGCCCAAATTTGAAGATAAACAAATAAGAAAAATACAAAAGTAAATCAATATAAGAATCTTCAGCAAGCAAACTCATTGCAGCTTGCACAATAGTTTGAAAATGAGTATAATGAGATTACAGAAAACCTGACAAGGAGGTCCTCCGTTGATGAAATCTACTTGACCGGGCATTGGAAGATTTTTAAGCTTTTCCTCACCAAGCTTTGCTGCCAATTCTGCAGCCTCAGAAGTCGAGATGCAATCATCTGCCTCACCACATTTCTCCATAATGGCCCTGTAATATCCAGATATCAATAATTATATCAAAAATGAGAAGTGTCAAAATAGTCTTATGAAGAGTATATAAAATTGTCAATTAAATCCCCATACTCTTTTAATATGGGCTAGATTAGCTTTCTATGGGGATTAATTCAAATCCATTTTAAAGAGATTGTCCATAAAGTTCAGGACTAAATGGTCAAGTGACTATTTTGGCACTCTACTTCTTCAAAAAATTGTTGGGGGACTAATAAAGACCTTAAGATCACGTTGCAGTTATCAATGAACATATGTGCATCAGGGTGGTTTTTGTTGAATGCCTCACCAGCAGCCTCTTCATATTCAATTGCCCATTTTGTGAATGTAGCGCCTATGTTAAAAATAAAATAAAATAATTTCAGCAGACATGATAGCATACTAGTAGATGCAATAAAAAATGGGACATTTACATACATACCACAATTATTATATATTTACGTATCTAACACATAAACCCTTCTTTAAAATTGGAGCAATATGAGACTCACCATGAGGACATTTATTTACATACCACAACTCATGTTTTAGGTTATCCAAATTTTGTTTAAAAACAAAACTAATAAAAATATACATATATATCACTTATTAACCATCACACTTCATAACCTAAATAACAAGACAATAGAAAAATGTATCCATAAAAAATTTATGGATTTCAACTTTTAATTATCAACATTTTTAATATTTTAATTAATATTTTATTGATAATTTTTCATTAAAAAATAAAAAAAGTGATTAAAAATAATAAAAAAATATGAGAATATAAATATAACTAAGAATATGACGTGAAATAAAAAATTCATTATGACAATTGTAATAAAAATCAATTCAACAATAAGAGAACAGATTTTAAAATTAAAATTCAAATGTTGATGACATTGAATTCATGTTTAAGTGAGGATAGTATGAGTGAGAAAAATATTAATGTTGAATTTATTTTGATTGCTATAGTTTGATATTATATTATATTATTTCAATATCTTAACTTTGATAATTTAATATATGTGATGCGTGCTAGAAAATTCGCGGCGGTAGAGTAAAAGATTATCGTCTTAGCGTTGCACGAAAATTCAGCACACACTCAGATGAAAATGAATCAAGCTGTAATAACACCAAAATTTTTTACGTGGAAAACCCGTAAAAAGGGAAAAACCACGGGGCCTGGCCCAGTTGTAAAAATCCACTATAAGATGATGATTACAGATGCCTCTTGTCCCACAGGCGGGAAAGGGTTACTAGACTTCCACGTTATAACGTTGACTGATTACGTCTAGTAAGCGGTGGTTGACGGAGGTCAGCGGTGATCGGCGGCGTTCCACGGTGGTCGGCGGTGGTCAACGATCGTTGTCGACGGTCAGTGGTGGTCGATGGCGATCGACGATGAGATCACAGCAGTATGCACCAACTGAATGTGAAGATCCTTGCAGAATGATGTGAAAACCCTTCCAGTAAATTGAGTCCCATTATCAGTGATAATCTTTGCAGGAAGCCCAAAGCGACAGATGATGTTTTTCCAGACAAACTGTTTTGCATTTGCCTCAGTGATCTTGGCAAGCGGCTCTGCTTCTACCCATTTGGTGAAGTAGTCGACAGCTAGGATGATGAATTTTCGTTGTCCAGTAGCTATCGGAAATGGTCCCATGATATCTACCCCCCATTGAGCGAAAGGCCAAGGACTTAGAAAAGAAGCGAGTTCCACTGGCGGGGCATGTGTAAGATTGAAGTGTAGTTGACAATTTTTACATTTTTGCACAAACTCTAATGCATCTTGTTTGATCGTGGGCCAGTAGAAGCCTTGCCTCATTATTTTAAGAGCAAGTGTCTTGCCACCGAGATGCTCCCCACATATTCCAGAATGAACTTCTCG